TCTATCTATCTATCTATCTATCTATCTATCTATCTTTTTCTTTTTTTTTCTTTCTTTCTTTGTCTATCTCTGCCTCTCCTCGCCCTTTCTCTTACTTTTTTTTTTTTTTTTTAATTCGTGAATTAAACTCGGACTTCATAGCCAGTTACTCTTATTTTTGTGGGCGTGGGCCGCACCGCGGGCGCTTAGCTAGTCTTTATTATGGAAGCAATAACCTTCTTTCTCTGTAAAGACCCATCAATACAGCGCTTAGTCACGACGCTGGATCAGCAAGGCCGCCTAGCCTATTTGTCAATGACTATACTCTTCGCAGACGATCTTACAATGTTGATTAGAGCCTTGGACTCGTCATTCCAAGCACTTACACGAACAATGGAGCAGAGGTGGGCTTTTTTTTTTTTTCCCTCACCCTCGATCCCGCCCAAAAAAAAATTTCCCCATCCACCCGACCCAAGAATTTTATTTTTTACTTTTAGACAACCCCACCCACCCAAAATATTTTCTGAAATTTCAGCCCCACGCCCGATCCGCCCGTGACCCGAAAAAAAACCTCACCCACACCCGCCCGCCCGTAAGAGTATCATCACCCGCCCGCGTCCAATACCTAAATTTTTTTCACCCGCACCCACCCGCCTCATCCCGCGCCTGCCCACGCCAGTCCCTTACACCATCACGATTTCATCTGCAACATAGGATTGCAACAAAGACATCTAAAATCCTATTATTAAAACAACGGCAACATCAACAATGCGACTCAAAGGAAAATATTTCAAGATTTTTTTTTTTTTGCCCAGGGGCAGATGCACTGCTTTCGCATCGGCATTACTTCATCAGGGGACCTGGTCAACTGAATCAGACACTATACAACCTCAAGCCGGACGTACTACACAAGGAGGGGAGGAGGGGGGGGGGGGGRTTGCATAATTTTCGGGTCATCCTGGGTCTATGGGTCGGGTGACCCAGGCCAAGCCATCACCCGCCTGCCACCCACCCAATGGGTGACCCAGGTCAAATCTTCACCCGCCCGTCACCCAGAAAGGCATGCTGGCTGCGCCCGCCCATAACCCACCCAAGACAGCTCATGTAGACCTAAATCCGACCCATCACCCTGTGGGCCTGTGGGTCGGGTGGGTGCAGCTCTGGGCGCCCGGTGCCCAGCTCTGCAATGGAGGCCTTTCAGCTAGCGTCGGAAATGAAGTAAACTGGCCAAAGACCGTTGGATGGTGGCTAACAGACCAAGAAGGAGAAGGGCCAGACCCCACGATTAACCCCGAGGGACTACAATGGATGACAACGTGAACCCCTTTGAGGTACCTAGGAGTCACGATCATAGAGACTGGTCCTCATCAATCCGCGACAGCTGAGCTAATGACTAAGGCCAAACTGACCGCCTGGTCTGCAATGGAAGGGCGCTCAATGCCGCTCATACTTAACGAGTCCATCTTCTCGATGTTGTGGTATGCAGGGACGATCTGGTCTCCCCCAGCTCACACAACCTCCGCACTACACACACGTGCAGCGGCATACCTCTGGACCGCAAATCCAACCAAGCCCACTTCATTTCTAAAGTGGCAAGGAAACAGGGATCCGGATCAACAACTTAAAGCGCTACAAAAAAAGTGGGTGGTCAAGTTGATCACCCATCAAAAGTTGTCGTGGGTCGCGTCGGCCCTGGACCGTATCAGACATTTGGCTAAATACGAAATCCCGGCCAACATGAACGGTCTATTCTTGGTAATGTGCAGCAGCTGGGCTAAGGTAGGCACGGAGGAGGGTACAAGAGAGGCCTCCTATTGGGTCCGAATTGTCAAACTATGGAAGGACATCTTTACAGCGAAAGTCAGAGAGCCCCGCACAAGGGAGGAGGTCCTGCGCCAGCCCTTATTCTGCAACCCAGGAATCAAGAATACGCACGGGAAACCGTTTACCCTTACAACAAGGTACACCAAGTGGGGCAAGTGAGTGGAACATGGGTTGTGGCAAATCAAGCACCTCTGGGAGGAGAACAACTGGAGATGGAAGACAGGCAGAGAACGCAGAGTACAACTGAAAGGTAGTCACAGACTAGAGGAGAATCTTAACGACCTGGTTCAGGCCATTCCGCAGGAATGGACAAGACTGCTGCGAAAGGAGTCTCAGTGGGGATTAGGGGACTGGGCCACATGGAAGCAGGAGGAAGAACCGCAGAATGCATTCAGAATCTGGAACCAGGAACCTGCAAGGAGGGAATGGGTGGTTGTGGATATGTACGAGATCAAGCACCCGGGAAGCACTACCAGCCAGCTGGACCAGACAACCAAAACCCCGATCACCATTCAACTGCAACACCTGCGCAAAGTAAGAGTGGTGGACTCTGATGAATTTACAATCTTCAGTCCAACCCCACGCCACTGGTGGACTTGGAAGTAGAACCCGCAGAATGGGCATGGAATCTCAGAGGAGGAAGAACAGGGGTGGCCAGAAGAATCAACATCCTAAATTATACTATGCGAATTGGCTACAGGCTGAGAAGAAGGTCTTATCCATTGGCGTCTTCGCTGTGTGAGGATTGAGCTCTCAAGTAGGGGCCTTGCCATGATGTACATGTTCTGGGCTAAGGCCCCAGCAAGCCTTGTGCCCGCCCTAAGTGAAGGCGGGCCAGCAAATCAAC